CTCCCTCGGTTCAAGTTCAGAGCTACTCGTACAGATGGAAATGCTCTGTGTTAATTATTCAGGAAATTGAAAACGCCGCGGGCCGAGTCACCAGACATTCAATTAAAAGCTGCAGCTAATGGCATTGGGAATGGGAATGCAATCGATTCGGACTTTAAGCCAATTCTAATGTTAGTTTTCAGTAATAACAATTCAATTAAGAGGCGGAACTGTTTTTCCAACATGCAATCAGGTGAAATATGCCTACAATTACTGCCAGTCGTGCAGTCGACTGCCGTGCATGCAATTAGCTATCGAAAGTGGAGTAGGCAAACACTCGCGGCTGTCTTGCCAGACATTGGCTTTGATTAATGGTCTACGATTGCCACTCGGCAGCTCGCAGGACTAGGATTAGGACTAGCGCAGCCTTCCCGCAAACATAATTGCCCACACATAATGCACCCTCGAGACACGAACTGGACACGAACCACTTGACCAGGGCCAGGGACCACATCCAGGCCCACTTAACTGGAACATGTTTTCGGCTCTCGGTTTTGGTCTAATCAAAACACAAATGTGTTATCCGTTTATGGAAGAAGGTGAGTCCGACAATTTAATTAATGAAAAGCTAAAACACTTGGGCATCTCTGGTGCATATTTATGCACAAGTATTTGAGGAGCCAGGCCAATACTCGTATCAAGTGTGTACAATTTGGCTAATAAAAGATAATGTGTCTGCCCTGAAGATGTTTGTGGGCCTCAAGATGTGTGGCACTCGATGACAGACAGTCAGTCCTAAAGCCAGTGAACTTTATTGCGTGACTCACGCGCCCGTCTCAAAACAATTTGCCGAGCTGCCAAGGTTTTTCATGGCTTTAATTACTGGTCATTAATCATAATTGAAAAGCGGACCAACGTATTTCCTTGTTTGGCCTGGCAAAAGTAACACTTCTGACCGCTTCTTATGCAAATTTCCCTGGGTCAAGAGGGAGCAAAACTTTTAGGGCAGAAAACGGAAAGTGAACCGAGGAAATCGCTGACGAGGAGAGTGACAACAGCAGACCATCGCCATCGCTGATTACCAGGGTTTCAACTTGCAATTATGTCCTTTTAATAAACAGCACCATAATTGCCCAGATGCTGTGAGAATCCATTAGGCCCAAAAGCTGGAAGCTCCAGGGGCTGTAACTGGAACTGAAACTCAAGCCGAAACGATTGAGCCGGGCTATCAATAATTCGCGTGACACAATGTAGCCAAAGGCAGTCCGTTGTGCGACAGGGATGTTCTGAATTACTCGTTCGACTGTAATTATAGAGAATTTCACAGCTTCCTATTTCCTTTCGAGGAGAACTATTTTCCTCATTTCCATATGCTTCATTGTAGCGGAAGTGAAGAGAAGAACACGGTTGCTGGTACCCGCCTTTGGTTTAGCACCCGCTGCGTATACACAATGCGAGAGGTAGACAGCCATTTGGGTAGATGGATGGCAGGATCAAATGGTATTTCCCAGCATGTTAAGTGGATTGTATACCCACACGGTGTAGGTGAGAGTGAGGTGCGTGAGCGAGTGCGTGTGGGTGGTGCGTGACAATCGTACTAAGGTACAAGGACTCGGAGACAGGGCCAAAAAGGAAACGAAATTCCCCACTTAATTGCAGGCATTAATTATGCACAAAATAAAGATATATGGTGCCCAGAAGTTTATTGTTGGCCGAGCATTGCAATTTGAATTAATTTTTCCACATTCACTAGCTGCTTAATTAGTTTTCCATCCATACAGCCAACAGGCCGGCTGTCCTCTGTCCGAATCCCTCCTCCTCAATGTGGAATTATAAAGTGCGGCCGACGGATGAAAGAACTGCACTCGGATCAGGTCCACAACAGTCCAAATAAAGTCAGTAAATAATCTTCTTTTCCACAGAACCGCAGGCAGCTCAACCAGAGTTAATTTTAATACAATTATTTCCAGCATTCTTCGATCCCATGCGATCTCATCAGCCAATTTCCAACGGCATGAATGGTTATAAAAATTGCGTAAAGCGTATTTATATTTTAATTATTTTTCAGCTTAAGGCTAGCAAATCTATGGAAGAATTTTAATTTTAATTTTAATGTAAGCATCTGCATTGCATTAAATCGATTAAGGGATTTTCCCTGGAATGGAAAAGTTAAGCGGCGACTGGCTGCAAATAATGGAAAAAAGTTGTTGGTAAATACAGAAACTATTTTCAGTGGAATTTCAACGTGTAAGAAGACATAATCTAACAGGATTTCCTTTCGCCTGTAAGCTTTTACACTGCATTACAGAGATACGAGATTCTGAATACTGAGCAGAAGAAATGGAGTATTAATATTCAACCCTAAAATTCGTACTTAATACAGAAGTTCCTGAACAATCTGGGAAATCATTTGTAAATATATATATTTAGATGAGAGACAGGGGATTGATACCATACACATGCACATCGGATGCCTGAAGGAATGCATTCTATCCGATCTTATTACAGGAATTATTAAATATCTCTCCCTTCAAAATCTCTTCGAAATTGTTGGGAGTTGTGAGAGGCGGAGAGGATTTTGTTGGCACTCCGTACAGCACTTGCAGGAATGTATGGTTATCCCTCAAATTACAGAGATTCCTATTCCAAACTGCATTCATATGCCACAAAGGAACCAGTCTTGAGATGCGTCTGCTTTTCCTTGGGCTTTCCAATTAATGTGTCGTTTTATTTATTTATGCAATTTTCCAACTGCTTTTCCTTGCAGCAGCAAACTGTTGCATCTTGAGCCACCGCACTATTGTTGCCCGCTCATCTGGCAAATAAATTAAATTTGATGAATCAAAGTTTGAGAATGGCAACTGAAATTTAAATCTCATTCAATGGCAGGAATCCCTGAAAGGAAATTTGAATTTAACTTTCAAGCTGAGATTCAGCTGGATCATAAATCAACAGAGCTAGATTGGGGCGGAAGGTGCATAATCAGGAAGGAACTTCTCCTAGCCGCCCCTGTTGTAAATTTTAACTTATCACGGTAGACCGGCAATCCCAGCGATTTCTCATTAGGCAAGGCAGCTAATTAACATAAGTAATTTGCTTAATGGCCCCTTAAAGGCAACTGTTCAAAGTAAATCCTACAATCTTCAATATCTGAACGACCCACTACCTGGAAGGAGAGCAAACAAAAGCAAGAACTTGGCGAGGGAACAAACAAAAAGTCAGAAGAACTTGGGGGAAGTGCGGGAAATACGTAAAATGAAAAAGTAAATGCAGCTGACTTACATGATGGATTCCCGAACGGCAGTGGGGCATGGAATATACTCGTAAATATAGAAAAATATTGTTGTAATATAAAAAGCAAATGCTCAAGTCTGTTCCACTCGACTGGGGCGCTCTGTCTGTCTTGAATGCTGATAGCGCTTGGGGACGGAAATTAAATTTGGCCACGTTAATTGCCTCGATTAGAACTTTTTGGCCATTACGATAAGCGTGGGCAGCAGCAGCAGCAGTACCCGTCCCCTAGACAATGGCAAAAACCTGGCTGACCCCTCTGCCGTGCAATGATGATGTCGCCTCCATGGACTCCATGGACACTGTGGTCTAGTGATTAATTATTAATTAATTAAAAGCTTACAACCGCTTATAGCACTGCCAAGCACTGCCAATTGGGCCGCCTCAAAAGGTGAGGTGAGGTGAGGCTCGGTTACGTGGTGTATACGCAATAGACTAGAAAACTAGAAAGGAGAAACCCAAACCATTGTTGGGGAACAATACTCGTAGTTTGAGCTTATATTTCCGTGATGCCTGCCGGCATTTCGTGCTCTATTGTTGCGGCTTGTCGCCTTTGATTTGACGGATTCGTTTGTGTATCTCTCTGCCGCCGCATAAGCCATATGTGGCGTATGAGCACTACATCCTTTGACACGTGGAAACAATGTGGAAAGAGAGCGAGACATTACGCATGCCACACATTGTGCGGCACCACTCTTCGCCACCATCGTCGAGAGTCAATTTACAATAGATGAAAGGGCAGGCAGGCAAATTGTGCCAAGCCACAGCCATCCATGGCCAAGGAATATCTTGGCACTAATTCCCCAGGCAAACGCAAACACTATCCCCTGACAACACATGTGCCTCGATGGACACGATGACTCACGGTCTGCCGTTTTCCGTTGCTATACTCGTACCTAAACCTAGCGGTAGCTGTAATTAGTGTAAGTGCCCACATGAATTGCCCCGACATCTTTTGGCAGTGCTCGTGCTCTCGTTTTTCCATTTTTCGCTTTGCCATTTTCATGTTCAAGGATGCGCGCCATTGCAGCAGTTCCTGGGAGCTGAAATCATTTCAAAAACAGGTATATCCCTCCCCTGCCCATGCTTCTGCTCCTCATTCTTATGAGTTTTTATTCGGTTTTGGGCAATTAAGCCTGTTGTTTCGCAGTTAAGCAACAGCGGGGCCCCATCTCTTGGGTAATTCTCGACAAACTTTGAAGATAAAAACGGAAGCCTGTGCCTCTGCCTGTGCATGTGCCTGCAAGTGAAACATCTCTTATGGTATTTATTAAATCAAGCGAAAGATGATTCTGTAATTTGATTAGCCAGACACAGACCCATACCCCAAGGGGGCTCCTGTTCAGGTACACGGTAATCAGGTTAATGAAAGAGCTCTCATGTATTGTGTGCTGCCTGGAAAAGGCGTTTGAGTGGCTCTGGGAATCAAAAAACACTGCACCACAAAGTACCAACAAATAACACTCGAGAGCTGTAAACACTTCCCCCCCACTTAGCGGACACTTGCGACTATTTATTTCTCCTTGGTCTAGGTCAATCTGTGAAGCGGAGCATTCCCAATTCGTTGATTGCCCCACAGATTATTGTTGTGTACCTGCCATAAATCTATATTTAAATCTCCGACAAACACTCGGAGATAAGCATACAGATCCCCCAGACTGACTGGGTGTTAAGGTGTTCAACTGGAAAGTCTACTTAGTCTAAAAGCTATAATAGGGTTAAAGACTTACATGAGGCTGGGGTCAACAACACTCTCAAACACTCTCACTTTCACGGCTTTCTTTCGGAAAGTCTTTGGCATAGAAATGTATTTCCAAAAATGCTGCCAAACAGGTGGCAAGTGTCGCACTGATTATCTTAATAATAGCACACAGAATATTGGAAAATACATATGTGGGGGAAATGAAAACTGAGAGAACAGACAATGAGTTTTTGTCCGGTGGAAAATTCTGGTTCCACAGTTTCAATTTTGGCTCAAGCACTTTTCCATTCAAATGATTTTTCTTGATTTTGCTTATACTTGTATAGGAATAAATATTTGCTGTTTTCCACACACTAATGGCATTTATTTTTCATTCAAGTAGCACAAACAGATTTTCCGCATTTCCATTTAAATATTTCCTCAAAACAACTCGCACTTATTTATTTTGTTGTTGGATTTCTCACGCACGTTCGTATTATATTTATTAAAATTATATTTTGTATTATTTTTGGGGTCCGGTGCTGATGCTGGGGGTTAATATTGTCCGCTTTCAATTTCGTTTGACCGTTACACTGGGTTCGGGGCAGAGTCAAAATTCTAAAACGATGGAGCACGCCACACACACAGTCGTCGTCCCGTCCGCGTCCGCCTGCTCGCTGTTCGCTGGCCTGATGCGTGCACGGTAAAAGTTTAACTGGAAGCGGGACTGACGAGCGCCCCTACAACCGACTGCCAACAGCCGACAAACGACGAACGACGACCCACCACACGGAGACCGAGACGGATGAGGAGACCGAGCCCCTGGCCCGAGCATCGGCCTCGTACCTGTCCAGCGCTCTAACAGTGCTCTAACAGCATCTGTTAACAGTGGCACTCTCCGGTTGCCCCCTCTCTCACAGACTCATACTGCTGCGCGCTGTTATCAGCATTATCAGTGTGTCAGTGGGTCTGTCGGACAGTGGCGCTTCTGCAACAGCAAACATTCTCACTCTCTCTGTGGGGCTCTCTTCGTGTCTGCACAGTGGGGTAACGAATTTAGCCAGCCAGTTTTAGAGAGCGCTGTAACTTACAGAGAGAGTGCTGTTACTGCTTGGGGAAGCATTCATTTATAGCATGCGATAACGAAGCACTTTTGCCTGCTGAGTGGAATCATTTGGAAAGTGGAACAACACACCAGTGGTGGCAGCCATTTAAACGGAATTTCATGATATTTGGTTCGTAATGCAAGGTAATACAGGTTGAGAGTAAGTATGACGTTTATTTTAGAACAAATAAAACACAATTTAATTTATTTTGGGACTGCTTTCAGCACTTTAAATGCACTTAGCACAAAAATTCTGCGCGCAAGTTTGAAAATGGCGCCAACGCATAAACTGTATATAAATGTTATGCAGACAAACAGCAAAATGAGCAAGAGAGCGAAGGGGAAAAATATTGAGAGTGACATGAAGAGATGGAGAGAGGTAAGAATTGTATACAGAGAACAAGGAGAGAACGTGCAATGTTAACAGATGCAGCGCTACAAGAAATTCTCATCTAACCTTTTTTTCATAGAAAACTGGTACAGAAGTTATGCTTTAAAGTTCAGTATAGGCACTCATGTATATTTTAAAGGTTTTATACCCAAGAAGAATTTCCGTAGCAATACTATAAGTAATACATTAATTTAAGAGCTAACAAAAGCCCTGCACTGGAACAGATTTAAAAGAACCTTTGAAGAGCAACACAATCTGATTTCAAGCTACCAATATTGGATAGCCTTGACATATTTTTTAAGGCTGTACAAACTTAGGAACGTTACGATTTAGCCATCATAATTTTGAAATCTGGCCGTTAGGATAATTGGCACAAAAAACCGCTTCCCACAAATAAAATACTTAAATTTTCCAATCGTCCAATAAGCATAACGAAAACCCCATACTAGTTGAGACTCGTGTTTATCGACATGATAATAACCTATAGTCAAAACATATAATAAATTGGAGCTTTATAAGCTAACATTAGCTGTCAGCCAGACGGACAAAGAACATACATAAATCCTGAAAGAGAAGACCAGGCCCCTAGCTCCCCCGAAATAAAATGGCAAAAATTATTATTATCTAAACAAAAGGAGGAATCGCTCAAAAGCACTTGGCCCCGAAAAGATTGGTAAAGAGAAGGGAGGCAACAGAGACGCGGGACTGTGCAGTGTGTTCCCCCCTTTCTTTTTTTGGCCCCGCTTCTATTTTCGGAGCTCTCAAATTTGAAAAAAACATGAAAAGAAATATTTTCAATCAATTGGCAAACAAAAACGAATAAAATTTCATATCCGAAGAGAGTCCAACAGAACAGAACTGAACAGCATATAACAGAACAGAACAGAACACTCACATAAAACAAGAAGCAACATGAAAAATGTTGTTCATTCATTAAAAATAAAAATTCATTAAACAGAAAAGATCAGAAATATTACACAGCAAAAATAGCCTCCAATCGAATGCAGTCTCTCTACATAAGAAATTGCTGTTTACTTTCGAAACAGAAACATCATCAAAAACAACCAGGAGTACAAGTGCAACGACAAGTACTGGCAACAAGCTCTCACAGTGCGATGAAATATGATTTTGTAATGCAGGTCCATGTTCAATGAAAGTGCCACAAAACCAAATAGAACGGCCAACAGGCTAACATATTTCAATGCTCGAAGGTTTGATATCCGTTGGGGCTATTCCCGGGTTATTTTTTTAAAGCAGAGCATTTCTATGGCCCAATAGACCCTGCTAATGGGTAGCGGATAGCCACTGACCAAAACGAAAGCGAATATTCCAACAACTGCTGAAATTGAAAAGAAATGAAAGTGTGAACTGCAAGCCAAATACATTTTTCCCCTCCCCCATACGAGTACGTGTACATATATCCTACAGAACAAAGTCCAATAAGCGGATTGGTAGGGAGTCATGTGCTGCGATGCAGTGAGTGCTCAGATGTTAGCCATGTCAATGATTATGTCGCATATGCCAACGCTTAGGTACGGTTCGCTGACTATCGTAAATGTACTTACTTTTACTTGTATTACTGTTTGAAAATAACAATTATTGGCTTCAATTGGCATGTCTGATGTCTGATAATAATTTGTAATGCTTTTAACTAATTAGTGAGCAACAGATAGGAGCCTGCGCGGAAGCTAAGAGAGGAACATTCTTTGACTCCATTTATGTTTATAGAGAATAGATGTGACTCTCCACAGAAGAACATTCAGTACTAAAGAACAGTTGTAAATGTTTATGAATAACAATATAAATAATAAAGACTTTTAAAGCTTCAATAACCATCAAGTCTCTGAAAAATCATTGGCTTTTGTTTTCTCTTTGCTGCACTACTCTCTACACCTCACTTTGCTTAATTGCTCAATTTCACATTTTACTGAAAATGTATTTATAATCGCAATTTAAATACTGCTTTTGCTAAAAATTCAATTGAAAATGTCACGGACCAAATATTTATTGTTTGAACGTTATTGAAATATGCAAGATGTGCGCTAAGCGGAATTGTCTCCTTTTGTTTATAGTGATACTTCATTTGGTGCTAGAAGTGAGTTGAACCAATGAAACAGGATAAAGTATCTAATTATTTCACCCTTAAGATCTCATCCAAATGGGAGTTCACTAATCTGAAATGCACATCCCTGGATAAGGAATTTACCGAGTTCGAATATTGCCATTTGAAGGCGATTAATCGAACGTATAAGTATGTTTCCTTCAAAGCCCATTTATTAAAGACTCCCGTAACCAAAATCAAAGTAAGTATACAACCATTTACATACAGAATATTTGTACATTTCTAAACCTCTTTTCTTTAAATTCAAGGTAAACTTTTCATTGTTTAAACGCTTCAGTGGTTATAGGCCGTTTCTCTACAATATGACGGTTGATTCGTGCCGGTTCTTGAAACATCAGAAATCTTACCCTGTTGCTGCCTTCTTCTATAATATATTTAAGGACTCCTCCAATATAAATCATACGTGTCCCTACGATGTAAGGTGATCCTTCGAATAGTTCATTTTCAATTTATTTTTACTTTTTTAAGTTACCAGCATGATCTGATTCTCGATCAACTTACTGCTACCAATTTGAATCACCAGCTTACAAAAGTTCTACCATTTCCTGAGGGTGATTACCTTATGGAAACAAACTGGATTTTCTACGATATTACCCGAGCTGTGGTTAAATTCTATGGCACTCTTAGCTGAAGTACTGGCTAATTAAATACAATTTTTTGCAAGCTCAGGGAAAAATTTTCCATTTGCGCAGACTATTTATTGAACTTTTCTGATCTCTTCGAAGACCTTTTCTTTCATTAAGCTTTAGGTGAAAACCCTTTGAGAAATGTTGAAAGCGAATGAATTTATTATTTGACTAATAGCTGATGACTACCAGATGTTTCGCATTCCAAGTGAACCTTCGAAAGTGTCGAGTAATTTGTTTAAATGGAAAAAGATACGAGATATGTGGAACTCATCCTGCTCGTCCATTTCAATGTGGCACTTAAGTATCCTCTGACCAATTCGCTGTATTTTTCTTTTAATTTCTCTGTCGACGAGTTGATAATGCCACGTCAATCGGTAAGTCACTGGCTGGGCTGGCTGTCTCTTTCAGGCTACTGCTTTTCAGTTCACCAACTGCTTTGCATCAATCTGACTTTGCCTTGCCAATTATGAGAAACAGAAACAATGCTTGATCTAAAGGGCAGAAATCAGTGGGAATCGAAGCCGCACTCGAGGAAATGCTGTCAGATAGAGACAGAACAAAATCGCAAGTCAACTGAAAAAGAATCATAAATAAAATATGCGCTGAGCAAATACATCAGCCCACAAAACCAAAACCGGCAAACCAGCACAACCATTCCCAGTCCCAATTGGGCGGCGTCGGCTGTCCCGGATCTTGGGTTTTCGACTGGTAACCAGTGGGCGGCAGTTAAGGAGAATTCAATTTGATTTATGATAAATACGCAATGATTTATGCCCTTTGCTTGCGCTTTAGCGTTCGGCTCGTGTCCAGAGTCTAAGCCTGGCAACCGCAAAATCATCGCATTTTGTATCGGGTTTTTTTCAATTTTCATTTCGCTAAAACTCTTTTGGGTCTTCACATGCTAGAAGACCGTCAATCGATGGGTATTTCAGAGAAGAGAAATCAATACATAAAATGTAAAAAATATTAGATAATTCAGCTGGAATATTTGTTGATACTATTTGTTTGACTGAAATTTCATATTGCAATGTATAGAGTAATATATATTTAAATATAATTATTCCATCAAAATTCCATCTGTAACTATCAAACAATCGGCTGAATCTAATACGATTGCATAATACGGTACATTTTTGTTCGACTACTATTCACTTTTATGTATGTTACTGGGGCTTTGAATGTATTCAATTCGTTTTCGATTCGTTTCAGTTCCAAATTTTTTTCGAGAATATAAATTGGCTGAGTCATGCGTTTAAAATTTCGTTGCATACTTGTGCGGGCGCCACCGTCTGACTCTGCATATCGCCCTTAAACTGTGTTTTTCGCGATTGTACGACTGCAGTTGACAGAGACAGTCGACTGTCTATCAGTGTATTTGTATCTATATCTGTTTATCTAACTGTGTGTTTGTGCTTTGGTATTTGCATTTTGCTTTTGCGTTTGTGCTTCTCCGCTTTTTTGTTGCTTATTTATTTAGTTGTAAACGTATGCGG